TAACCCCCTTTATGGGAACAAACAGGGTGAAAATACTTCTAAGAGCGTGTGAGGGCTTTTACAGGGAGTAACAGAGAAGATTGAAAATTTTCACTTTTTGCCAAAAACAATGAGCTAACCTCTTGCCATTTTTTTCCAAAAAGGGGCAATTTTCAAATTATCAATATTTACCCTAATCCCCTTTATGGGAGGAACAAACGGGATTCAAAATACTACAAAGGGCATGTTAGGACTATCACAGAGAGAAAAGGGAGAGGATTGAAAATTTTCATTTTTTGGCAAAAACAATGAACTAACCCCTTGCCATTTTTTCAAAAAAAGGGCAATTTTCAAATCATCAATATTTGCCCTAACGCCCTTTTTGGGAACGAACGGGAGTCGTTAAGATTCTAAGGGCATGTTAGGACTATCACAGAGAGAAAAGGGAGAGGATTGAAAAATTTCACCTTGTGGTAAAAACAATGAGCTAACCCCTTGCCATTTTTTTCCAAAAAGGGGCAATTTTCAAATTATCAATATTTGCCCTAATCCCCTTTATGGGAACAAACGGGATTCAAAATACTACAAAGGGCATGTTAGGACTATCACAGAGAGAAAAGGGAGAGGATTGAAAAATTTCACCTTGTGGTAAAAACAATGAGCTCACCTCTTGCCATTTTTTTCCAAAAAGGGGCAATTTTCAAATTATCAATATTTGCCCTAATCCCCTTTATGGGAGGAACAAACGGGATTCAAAATACTACAAAGCGCATGTTAGGACTATCACAGAGAGAAAAGGGAGAGGATTGAAAATTTTCACTTTTTGGTAAAAACGATGGGCTAACCCCTTGCCATTTTTTTCCAAAAAGGGGCAATTTTCAAATTATCAATATTTGCCCTAACCCCCTTTATGGGAACAAACGGGGGTGAAAATACCTCTAAGGGCATGTAAGGACCATCACAGAGAGAAAAGGGAGAGAATTGAAAATTTTCATTTTTTGGCAAAAACAATGAACTAACCCCTTGCCATTTTTTCCAAAAAGGGGCAATTTTAGAATTTATATCAAATGTGCTTTTATTTCCCTTTTTGTGAACATACCAGAATCGTAATGATTCTAAGGAGATGTTCGGACTATTAAAGAGGGAAAAGGGAGATGATTAAAAATTTCACCTTGTGGTAAAAACAATGAGCTAACCCCTTGCCATTTTTTACCAAAAAGGGGCAATTTTCAAATTATCAATATTTGCCCTAACGCCCTTTTTGGGAACGAACGGGAGTCGTTATGATTCTAAGGGCATGTTAGGACTATCACAGAGAGAAAAGGGAGAGGATTGAAAAATTTCACCTTGTGGTAAAAACAATGAGCCATTTTTTTCCAAAAAGGGGCAATTTTCAAATTATCAATATTTGCCCTAACCCCCTTTATGGGAACAAACAGGGGTGAAAATACCTCTAAGGGCATGTTAGGACTATCACAGAGAGAAAAGGGAGAGGATTGAAAAATTTCACTTTTTGGTAAAAACGATGGGCTAACCCCTTGCCATTTTTTTCCAAAAAGGGGCAATTTTCAAATTATCAATATTTGCCCTAACCCCCTTTATGGGAACAAACAGGGGTGAAAATACCTGTAAGGGCATGTTAGGACTATCACAGAGAGAAAAGGGAGAGGATTGAAAAATTTCACCTTGTGGTAAAAACAATGAGCTAACCTCTTGCCATTTTTTTCCAAAAAGGGGCAATTTTCAAATCATCAATATTTGCCCTAATCCCCTTTTTGGGAACGAACGGGAGTCGTTATGATTCTAAGGGCATGTTAGGACTATCACAGAGAGAAAAGGGAGAGGATTGAAAAATTTCACCTTGTGGTAAAAACAATGAGCTAACCCCTTGCCATTTTTTTCCAAAAAGGGGCAATTTTCAAATTATCAATATTTGCCCTAATCTCCTTTATGGGAACAAACGGAATTCAAAATACTACAAAGGGCATGTTAGGACTATCAGAGAGAGAAAGGGGAGAGGATTGAAAAATTTCACCTTGTGGTAAAAACAATGAGCTAACCTCTTGCCATTTTTTTCCAAAAAGGGGCAATTTTCAAATCATCAATATTTGCCCTAATCCCCTTTTTGGGAACGAACGGGAGTCGTTATGATTCTAAGGGCATGTTAGGACTATCACAGAGAGAAAAAGGAGAGGATTGAAAAATTTCACCTTGTGGTAAAAACAATGAGCTAACCCCTTGCCATTTTTTTCCAAAAAGGGGCAATTTTCAAATTATCAATATTTGCCCTAATCTCCTTTATGGGAACAAACGGAATTCAAAATACTACAAAGGGCATGTTAGGACTATCACAGAGAGAAAAGGGAGAGGATTGAAAAATTTCACCTTGTGGTAAAAACAATGAGCTAACCTCTTGCCATTTTTTTCCAAAAAGGGGCAATTTTCAAATTATCAATATTTGCCCTAATCCCCTTTTTGGGAACGAACGGGAGTCGTTATGATTCTAAGGGCATGTTAGGACTATCACAGAGAGAAAAGGGAGAGGATTGAAAAATTTCACCTTGTGGTAAAAACAATGAGCTAACCCCTTGCCATTTTTTTCCAAAAAGGGGCAATTTTCAAATTATCAATATTTGCCCTAATCTCCTTTATGGGAACAAACGGAATTCAAAATACTACAAAGGGCATGTTAGGACTATCACAGAGAGAAAAGGGAGAGGATTGAAAAATTTCACCTTGTGGTAAAAACAATGAGCTAACCTCTTGCCATTTTTTTCCAAAAAGGGGCAATTTTCAAATTATCAATATTTGCCCTAATCCCCTTTATGGGAGGAACAAACGGGATTCAAAATACAACAAAGCGCATGTTAGGACTATCACAGAGAGAAAAGGGAGAGGATTGAAAATTTTCACTTTTTGGTAAAAACGATGGGCTAACCCCTTGCCATTTTTTTCCAAAAAGGGGCAATTTTCAAATTATCAATATTTGCCCTTACCTCTTTATGGGAACAAACGGGGGTGAAGATACATCTAAGGGCATGTTAGGATCATCACAGAGAGAAAAGGGAGAGAATTGAAAATTTTCATTTTTTGGCAAAAACTATGAACTAACCCCTTGCCATTTTTTCCAAAAAGGGGCAATTTTAGAATTTATATCAAATGTGCTTTTATTTCCCTTTTTGTGAACATACCAGAATCGTAATGATTCTAAGGAGATGTTCGGACTATTAAAGAGGGAAAAGGGAGATGATTAAAAATTTCACCTTGTGGTAAAAACAATGAGCTAACCCCTTGCCATTTTTTACCAAAAAGGGGCAATTTTCAAATTATCAATATTTGCCCTAACCCCCTTTATGGGAACAAACAGGGTGAAAATACTTCTAAGAGCGTGTGAGGGCTTTTACAGGGAGTAACAGAGAAGATTGAAAATTTTCACTTTTTGCCAAAAACAATGAGCTAACCTCTTGCCATTTTTTTCCAAAAAGGGGCAATTTTCAAATTATCAATATTTGCCCTAATCCCCTTTATGGGAGGAACAAACGGGATTCAAAATACTACAAAGGGCATGTTAGGACTATCACAGAGAGAAAAGGGAGAGGATTGAAAATTTTCATTTTTTGGCAAAAACAATGAACTAACCCCTTGCCATTTTTTCAAAAAAAGGGCAATTTTCAAATCATCAATATTTGCCCTAACGCCCTTTTTGGGAACGAACGGGAGTCGTTATGATTCTAAGGGCATGTTTTTTCCAAAAAGGGGCAATTTTCAAATTATCAATATTTGCCCTAATCCCCTTTATGGGAACAAACGGGATTCAAAATACTACAAAGGGCATGTTAGGACTATCACAGAGAGAAAAGGGAGAGGATTGAAAAAATTTCACCTTGTGGTAAAAACAATGAGCTAACCTCTTGCCATTTTTTTCCAAAAGGGGCAATTTTCAAATTATCAATATTTGCCCTAATCCCCTTTATGGGAGGAACAAACGGGATTCAAAATACTACAAAGCGCATGTTAGGACTATCACAGAGAGAAAAGGGAGAGGATTGAAAATTTTCACTTTTTGGTAAAAACGATGGGCTAACCCCTTGCCATTTTTTTCCAAAAAGGGGCAATTTTCAAATTATCAATATTTGCCCTTACCTCTTTATGGGAACAAACGGGGGTGAAGATACATCTAAGGGCATGTTAGGATCATCACAGAGAGAAAAGGGAGAGAATTGAAAATTTTCATTTTTTGGCAAAAACTATGAACTAACCCCTTGCCATTTTTTCCAAAAAGGGGCAATTTTAGAATTTATATCAAATGTGCTTTTATTTCCCTTTTTGTGAACATACCAGAATCGTAATGATTCTAAGGAGATGTTCGGACTATTAAAGAGGGAAAAGGGAGATGATTAAAAATTTCACCTTGTGGTAAAAACAATGAGCTAACCCCTTGCCATTTTTTACCAAAAAGGGGCAATTTTCAAATTATCAATATTTGCCCTAACCCCCTTTATGGGAACAAACAGGGTGAAAATACTTCTAAGAGCGTGTGAGGGCTTTTACAGGGAGTAACAGAGAAGATTGAAAATTTTCACTTTTTGGCAAAACCGATGAGCTAACCCCTTGCCATTTTTTCCAAAAAGGGGTAATTTTCGAATGGCTGTGACAATTTTTTCTGCCATAATTTCCTTGCAATACCACAACCAAATCCTTAATTTCCACCCTGGACCCTCTAAGGCAGCTTAACCAAATGTAGAGGCACAAAAAGACGCATCCATAAAAGCAAACTGCATAACTCTTGAAAATTATAATTCTATCACACAAAAGAAAAACCGAATAGTTTGAAGTTGGTAAATGCATACCATCTCGATAACCCTCGACGTTCATTGAGATACCGTAAACTATTTCGCCTTTGGCTTGCATTCAGGATGCGTTGTGTATTAAACTACATTTTGCTAAGCTAATTCTACACTCTTATATAAAATAAAGCCCCAAGCAATTGATGCAGGAGCAAATCACTTCTTCACATGTACCTTCAGTCTTGTGTCTATACCCATCATCTGCAAGAATAGCCCTTGGTGGATCGGGCCATAGGTGGCAACTGAAACAAGACACAAAATCCACGTTTTATTTCAATGGCAAAGTATTACAAACGACAGAAGAACAGGTATTGGTTATTGGTGATTCTTTTTTTACCTGACTGCTAAGAAAGCGTAAATGCTTGTTAGTAAGCAACCACACGGCCAAAGGCTTTAGGTCCTCTCCGATGGACCTGGTAATGAGGATTAATGCCTTACCAAAGGGCACTAGCATATCGACTTGGTTTCAAACCCGGGTCACCGGATTATGAGACCATTGCTCTACCAACTGAGCTATCGCGCCTCCTCAATTTGGTCCTCAATATGGATTAAAAATCTGAAATGCTGCAAAGCTTATAAATCATAAATATGGTAAACATAGTCATAATCTCTCATATTACAGGAACTGTAGGGAAGACATGATGTCAAACAATGGTTGATACCTAAAGTGGCTATTGTTCATCTTTCAAAACTTGCAAACCATTCCAAATGGTGTCATCATAAAAATCACCATTTCTTTGCCTTTTCTTAGCAATGAAGATTGTAGTCTCTCCACATTCAATTTGATCTGTCTAATGAAACAATTCATTAAATTATCACACACAACTGTCACAAGATATTTTTTTAAAGAAAGAGTGCGACTTAAATTCTGACATACCTCTGTCACCAACCATCCGCCTGAGGTAAGCAAAGTCTACATCGGCAGTGAGGTCAGCTGTACCAGGTTCAATCAATACATCATGAAGCTTGTGATCCTTGAAACCCTATAGAAAATGACAATAAATCAACAAATTCTGTCTCAAAGAATACAATAAATTACAATAAAAAAAAGTATATAAAGAATTAAACAAGGGAAACGCTCTCGAAATGATGAAAAATTGAGGTTGAAACATTGTTTATAGGCAGGGTGGCCCATTAGCAGGCCCCCCAAAATTAAATCCTCTGAATATAATCAGCATTTTAAAGTGAATATTGATTAAGAATCATGAACAAATAAGAAAAAATGATTCATTTATTCTCATATTAAGTTGTGAAAACATAATCCAAGTCTACTGACCTAAAATGACCTTTGACCTTGTGTCATATGACTTGTGATACTTGATAACCCTTGGTACAAGTTTCATGGAATTTGAACAAACACTTTTGAAAATATGCTAAAAATTCAAAATCTTGATGTTGATGCCACAAAAAAGGCTAAGTTTGTTGACCTAAAATGACCTTTGACCTTGACTTTGTGACCTGAAATTCAAGTCACATAATTGGGGATACTTGATAACTCTAAAGTCCAAGTTTCATTGAATAAGAACTTATACTTTCAAAATTATATCAGAAATTCAAAAACTTAACCTTGGGTTAAGTTGATGTTTGACGCCGTCGTCGCCGTCACCGGAAAAGCGGCGCCTATGTCTCGCTTTTTTGCTTAGCAGGCGAGACAAAAACGTCAATCGTAGGATGAATAGAATGAGATGGGTTAGACCCTGTAAATGTGAGGGTAACTGATTGTTTTTGCACTCTAGCACATATTCCACAATGCTGTTAAAGGTATTACAAAGTTTTGGGAAATTTTAAAAATTAGGTGGATAGTGTCGACTCTTTACAATTTTGATATATTTGGATGCCCCTGTGGATGTATTAAAAAGCACTACAAATTTTAGCCCCTAAAACACTTCTGCTTTCGAGAAAAATTGAATATAAAAAACTAGCAGGACCCGCGGAAATCCGCGGGATCCTGGAGGGGGGCGGGGGGTGTAAATAGATATATAGAGACTGTCTAAATTAAAACCACCAAGAACTTTATTTGCCATTCAGGCCATTAAGAAATATACATGTTAAGACTCCCCGCCCGCTTCCTTTTTGGGGGCCGCCTCCTATTTTTTTTTTTTTTTTTTTTTTTTATTTATTTTTTTTTATTTTTTTGAAAGAAAAAAAACATGAAAAGCACTGCTAAAATGTATTTCTGATTTTAAAAAAGAAAAAAAAAAATTGTCGGCCGCCATCTTGAAAAATAGCCCGAATGTCAGGAAAAATGTACGGAGCCGCCATTTTGAAAGAAAATAAAAAGAAAAAAAAAGGGCCTCCTCCTTCCCATTTTTCGAAAAAAACAGGAAGCTAAACATGTTTTTTTTTAAATTTGGCCTTATATAAAAATAAAATAAAACGATCCAACTGTACCGGTAGTTATTCTTTAAGCCACTGGAACTGCGTAGAGTTCCGTAATGTGGCGTACCGACTACGCAGAAATTAGGCTGCGTATTAATGGGAAAATAGTCCCTGCGTAGGTTATGTGTAGGCTGGCGAAAAAAATTAAACAGGTTGAATTGTTTTCGTTCATCTTGCGTACCCCTTTCCGTCCCTCAGCATATAGTAACGTAGGCCAGCGTAGTTGTTACGCAACACTACGCAACTCTACGTATTGACCCCACGCCAATTAGTGACCCGCAAGTGTCACAAATAAAGTATTAAAAATATGCTCATCTGACCCTATGCGCCTAAAACCCCCGAGCTTTCGGGGGTTTATGGCCCCTTGAAACCCGTGGACCCCACGCCTATATTATATATACACTCAACTCGCTGCGATCTGATCTCCCCCCCCCCCAACTTTGAAGAACGTAACCCCCGAGCTTTTGGGGGTTTATGGCCCCTTGAAACCTGTGGACCCCACGCCTATATTATATATACACTCAACTCAGGACCCGCGGAAATCCGCGGGATTCTAGAGGGGGTGCGCAGGCAAAAAATTAAGTTTTTCATTTCGGGGGCTCCATTTTAAATTTTAAGGAAATTTTCGGGGGCTCTTTTTTCTGGGGCTACTTTTTCATTAATTCATATAAGGATAGGCCTACACTTTGTTGAGATTTGTTTAGTAGGCTAAGGTTTCATTCTTCCTACTTCATAATTGCCTATTTAAAAAAAACAACATTTTTCTAGTTCAATAACTAAGTTTTCATGCATTGATTTGATGCAAGAACTGTAACATAATAGACCCCAGATTGTGATTATTTCTGACCATGAATTTCGATAATCATTTTTCAAAGTAAAATTTTCACAGGAAAATCAGACAGTCTAGACATTAGTAATACTTTTACTAATTCTAAGCTCAGGTTTCGTAAATCTATTCACGAAACTATATTGAAATCGCGGCAATAATCATGCAAACCAACAGATAACAATTTCAAAGTGTCAAATCTCTTCGGCTCGAGCTCAGCTCAGCTCAACTCACACACACACACTACAGCGTAACTCCATTTAGCTCGAACACCGGCGCCGCAGGCGTCGGACGCCTGCGGTGCGCGGTCCCGGTGTTGGAGCTTTCCGGAGTTACACTGCACTGTGTGTAATGTATGTATGTGTACGTAGACTGAAGGCAGCTAATTGCGACTGAACTGTCAGACCGATGGTTTTCTTGTGAAAACTTTCCTTTAGAAAATGATAATTAAAATGTAGTATAAATGGCCGTAGCAATCACAAAATAAGCTTTGATTTCATACCTCCATATACGAAAACTATATACAAATCGTGGCAATCATGATGGAAATAGGTCTCTAAGTTTGGACGTCGACGGGAATTAGCCCCGTGTATGATCTCTCGGGCTTTTGCAGCTAGTACAACGCACACCCTATAGCACGATGGCTTTCTCGTGGGTAAGCCCGCCCTCTGCATAGAGCATTTAATACGCAACATAATGTGAGTTGCTCGTCGTCTGTCGAGTGTCTCTTTGATACAATGTTGAATATCCATGAGGTATCTCTGTCGTCACGCATATCCTGCATTATGCATGTCGCGTCTGTTTTCGCCCTGGACGTCGACACGGAGGAGGACCTCGGGCGGAGTATAGCCAATTCGCTAGAGTAGACTCTCCCGCGGACGATGGCACCGGGCACGGGTACCCCGAGGGGAGGGTTCAGGAGGAGATAGCCGCACCAACTTCGGTCGGCGATCTCATTAAAAAACAATAGAATACAAAGGCTCGCCGAGACGTCGCGCCCCCCGCGGAGCCTTAGCGTATTATTATTATAGACTAGCAGGACCCGCGGAAATCCGCGGGATTCTAGAGGGGGCGGGGGGTGTAAATAGATATATAGAGATTGTCTAAATTAAAACAACCAAGAACTTTATTTGCCATTCAGGCCATTAAAAAATATACATGTTTAGCGTCCCAGCCCGCTTCCTTTTTGGGGGCCGCCTCCTATTTTTTTTTTTTTTTTTTTTTTTTAATTTTTTTTTTGAAAGAAAAAAAACATGAAAAGCACTGCTAAAATGTATTTCTGATTTTAAAAAAGAAAAAAAAAAATTGTCGGCCGCCATCTTGAAAAATAACTCGAATGCCAAGGAAAATGTACGGAGTGGCCATTTTGAAAGAAAAAAAAGAAAAAAAAAGCGCCTCCTCCTTACCATTTTTCGAAAAAACAGGACGCTATAAGCATGTTTTTTTTTTTAATTTGGCCTTATATTAAATTTAAAAAAACAATCCAACTGTACCGGTAGTTATTCTTTAAGCCACTGGAACTGCGTAGAGTTCCGTAGTGTGGCGTACCGACTACGCAGAAATTAGGCTGCGTATTAATGGGAAAATAGTCCCTGCGTAGGTTATGCGTAGGCTGGCGTACAGGTTTGCTTATGGTTGCTTACTGTGTGGAAAGCTTTTACTGCTTAGTCGATCTGGCATAGGGTAGCGTACTGTTGCGTAAAAAGGCGTACTTTCTGCGTCAAGTTTCTACGCCGAAAGTACGCGAACAAAATTAAACATGTTGAATTGTTTTTGTTCACCTTGTGTACCCCTTTCTGTCCCTCAGCATATAGTAACGTAGGCCAGCTTAGTTGGTACGCAACACTACGTATTGACCCCACGCCAATTAGTAACCCGCAAGTGTCACAAATAAGGTATTTAAAATATGCACATCTGACCCTAATTAAACGCCTAAAACCCCCGAGCTTTCGGGGGTTTATGGCCCCTTGAAACCCGTGGACCCCACGATTATATTATATATACACTCAACTCGCTGCGATCTGATCTCTCCCCCCCCCCCCAACTTTGAAGAATGTAACCCCGAGCTTTTGGGGGTTTATGGCCCCTTGAAACATGGACCCCATGCCTATATTATATATACACTCAACTCAGGACCCGCGGAAATCCGCGGGATTCTAGAGGGGGGCGGGGGTGTAAATAGATATATAGAGACTGTCTAAATTAAAACCACCAAGAACTTTATTTGCCATTCAGGCCATTAAAAAAATATACATGTTTAGCGTCCCCGCCCGCTTCCTTTTTGGGGGCCACCTCCTATATATATATTTTTTTAAACAGCTTCCCCGCCCGCTTCCTTTTTGGGGGCCGCCTCCTCTTTTTTTTTTTTTGAAATTTTTTTGAATTTTTTTTTTTTTTTTTTTTTTTTTTTTGATAGAAAAAAAAACAGCGTCCCCACCCGCTTTCTTTCTGGGGGCCGCCTCTCCTATTTTTTTTTTTTTTTTGAATTTTTTTTTTGATTTTTTTTTTGATTTTTTTTTTTTTTAAAGAAAAAAAACATGAAAAGCACTGCTAAAATGTATTTCTGATCTTAAAAAGAAAAGAAAAAAATTGTCGGCTGCCATCTTGAAAAATAGCCTGAATGTCAGGGAAAATGTACGGAGCAGCCATTTGAAAGAAAAAAAAAAAAAAAAAAAAAAGGGCCTCGATCCTCCTTCCCATTTTTCAGAAAAAACAGGACGCTAAACATGTTTTTTTTTTTAATTTGGCCTTATATAAAAAAAATAAAAAAAACGATCC